GCTCCTTCACGGAACAACCTAGCAGTCTCACTGCTCCTTCACGGAACAACCTAGTAGTCTCACTGCTCCTTCACGGAACAACCTAGCAGTCTCACTGTTCCTTCACGGAACAACCAAAAGACTGATCGTGAAAGTCGCGGCACTTGTTCTCCTCTGTCAGTATGCTAGAACATAACATTTAATATTATACAGTGAAAATTTTGAGTGACCTTATTATGCTAAACAGTTTATTGATACAAAGTAGTATATAAATGACTAACTAAAGTGACTTAACAGGTAATATGTCGTAGAGTTGAAGATATGTTCAGTATAATGTTTGAGCTTTATGTAATTCATAAGTGTGTCCATTTTTTCAGGTGTACCTTAGCCAGTATGGTAGTCAACAAAATAGTATGGTAGTCAACAAAATAGTATGGTAGTCAACAAAATAGTATGGTAGTCAACAAAATAGTATGGTAGTCAACAAAACAGTATGGTAGTCAGCAAAACAGTATGGTAGTCAACAAAATAGTATGGTAGTCAACAAAATAGATAATGGTAGTCAACAAAACAGTATGGTAGTCAACAAAACAGTATGGTAGTCAACAAAATTTAGTAAAGTGTAGTCAACAAAACAGTATGGTAGTCAACAAAACAGTATGGTAGTCAACAAAACAGTATGATAGTCAACAAAATAGTATGGTAGTCAAAATAGTATGGTAGTCAACAAAATAGTATGGTAGTAAAATAGGCCTGTAGTTTGGTGCTTCCTGTTGACTGGGTTTCTCGTAAATAGGGAAAACATTTGTAGTTTCCTAAATCTCTTGTATTTGCTATTTTTATCTCCTGTTCCTTTCAAGGAGGTGATGGTAATGTTGTGAAGGGTTCTTGGTCCAAGGAAGTAGACCTATTATCTCCTTTACATCATACCTATTTTCTCGAATTCCATAGGAGCTGTATGAGCCTATGTTATCACTTCCCCACGAATATAATAATAATAATAATAATAATAATAATAATAGGTTTTTGTATATGCTATGTCCATGTCAGTCTATCTTTATCCAGCTTCTCAAATACTCAGACGATCTTGTACGACATAATCACTGGTAAGGGTTATTTACCATAACCCTGAAAAGTGTAGAATATCAAACTTTGTTTATATTTGTGGAACCTCTTACACTTTTACTTATAAATAACATGGCATTACATGTAATGTATCTATTTGTGGTGTGTTTGTATGACTGGTGTGTTCGTATGTATGTGGCATTTTCGTATGAGTGTAGTGTGTACGTATGTTTGTGATGTGTACATATGCTGGTGGTGTGTGCTTGTAGTTATTATTCCATTATAGAGAGACAGGTGGGCCAATGAGAGAGGGACGCCAGAGATAGGTTGGTACTTGGGTGGTGGTTTACGTGTGGGATATCTGCTCATTCTGCACTCAGGAGCAGCTCAGCTGAGTGACTCAGTGTGATTCACGCTAGGATAATGGACAGTGTGATTCACGCTAAGATAATGGACAGTGTGAGTCACGCTTGGATAATGGACAGTGTGATTCACGCTAAGATAATGGACAGTGTCAGTCACGCTTGGATAATGGACAGTGATTCACGCTAGGATAATGGACAGTGTGAGTCACGCTTGGATAATGGACAGTGTGATTCACGCTAGGATAATGGACAGTGTGAGTCACGCTTGTAATGGACAGTGTGATTCACGCTAGATATGGACATGTGAGTCACGCTTGAATAATGGACAGTGTGATTCACGTAGATAATGGACAGTGTGATTCACGCTAGGATAATGGACAGTGTGATTCACGTTAGGATAATGGACAGTGTGATTCACGTTAGGATAATGGACAGTGTGATTCACGCTAGGATAATGGACAGTGTGAGTCACGCTTGAATAATGGACAGTGTGATTCACGTTAGGATAATGGACAGTGTGATTCACGTTAGGATAATGGACAGTGTGATTCACGCTAGGATAATGGACAGTGTGATTCACGTTAGGATAATGGACAGTGTGATTCACGCTAGGATAATGGACAGTGTGATTCACGTTAGGATAATGGACAGTGTGATTCACGCTAGGATAATGGACAGTGTGAGTCACGCTTGAATAATGGACAGTGTGATTCACGCTAAGATAATGGACAGTGTCAGTCACGCTTGGATAATGGACAGTGATTCACGCTAGGATAATGGACAGTGTGAGTCACGCTTGGATAATGGACAGTGTGATTCACGCTAGGATAATGGACAGTGTGATTCACGTTAGGATAATGGACAGTGTGATTCACGCTTGAATAATGGACAGTGTGATTCACGTTAGGATAATGGACAGTGTGAGTCACGCTTGAATAATGGACAGTGTGATTCACGTTAGGATAATGGACAGTGTGATTCACGCTTGAATAATGGACAGTGTGATTCACGCTAGGATAATGGACAGTGTGAGTCACGCTTGAATAATGGACAGTGTGAGTCACGCTTGAATAATGGACAGTGTGAGTCACGCTTGAATAATGGACAGTGTGATTCACGTTAGGATAATGGACAGTGTGATTCACGCTAGGATAATGGACAGTGTGATTCACGCTAGGATAATGTACGGAGGGTAGAGAGCGGTCGGCAACGAAGAAAAAACAAGGTAGAAATGTTGTTTTAATTTATGTAATGCATTTTGAGTTGTATAGTTTTAGGGACAAACTAAACTGTTTACGTACAATCTACAGCAAGAATTTTTGTTAACGTTATTGGTCTCGCAAGATTTTTGGGAGTGGGTGAGGCTTTACAGTAGTTGAGATGACTACAAACACATTTTTGCTTTTTATGTTCCATAAGTTGTTTGTCCTTGCACTAACCCCCTTCTTGTTAATGATTACATAATGTTCACTTCAGAAAAAAAGTATTTTCTCAGATCTATGTGTTGAAGTCTTAGCTGTATTTTCAGAGTTAATTTGGAAGCTAGGATATTACTGTATTAAAGTTGGCGAGGCAGTCACCAGAGAACAGGTAGAGTTACCAGTGTACGAGAACCTTAAATTACACGTCTGTCTGTAAACCTCTGGTAAAATGTGAATACTGAAGTTAAAAAGAAAGTCTTGGCAGTTGGCCCACCATGTTTAACAATAAAATTAAAATTAAAAAATAAATGAAAAACGTTACACGTACGTAAGCTTTGAAAAGCCCATAGTAAGCACAGCCTTTTAGGCAACTTAGACCACTGTAGGATTACAACTAATTCATACTAAGGAGTGTATGAGGTTCTAAATTTAAGCTTGTGTGTCTAAGCTTACCTCACGTCGATTCCAGGGATCACTTTACCCACTCCTCGGTCCCATATCAAGCCTCACGACTGCTGGCCTCATCATCAGACTAAAGAATTACACACATGTGCAACATCTGAGTATCTTTATTTGTAGACGTTTCGCCAACAAATGGCTTTATCAATACAGTACAAGGACAGAAAATGTGAAGAATTATATACAAGAGATGAGGTAATTAGTCCCTCAGCCTTGGAGTTGAAGAGCATCGTACGGTGTTCTTCACCAGATTTAGGTTAGATAAATACATGAGTGAGAGGGGTTGGATTTGAGTGGGACTTGCACATGAGTTAATAGGGTTATCAAAGCTTATTCCTTTGGGAAGCATTGAAAATAGGTTGGGCAATTATTTTTGTTGGTGGGTTTGAGTTTGAGAAAGACCTGCCTAGTATGGACCTTTAGGCATGCTGCAGTGTTCCTCCTTATTTTAGCACTTTTGGTCTGTATGTTTTATTTACAATTGCTTTACTTTCATACTATTGTGGGTGGAGGAATGGTGTTTTTTTTTTTAAATGACTGTTGGCTGACACCTGTGTCCAGGCTTCTTTTCCGAAGAATTAATAAGGCTCGAGATGGTGCTCCTTTACATTTTTTTTGACGAATTTGGAGCACCATGACTGTGGGTCTGGGACAGTGTACCTGGACATGCTGTCAACAAGGCTTCTTCAGAGTCAACTGGGGATAGAACTACGTCAGAAATTGTCAGAGATGTCGACTGCTTTTTGAATCTTGTTCATGAACCACTTGGGTCGTCCATCATTTGACTGGTAAATGGTTCATGGAACACAGTCGTATTGCAACTCTAATATCTCACTCATTTTTCTTTTTCATGTATGTATGTTCCAGGGACAAAAGTAATTGTTAAAAAGAAACTAATTGCAAGATTATTCAATAAAACTAGCTTGTTAGAAAAGATTGAATGGTAGTTTTTTTTTGAAGTTACAGTAAAATTATTAAGTTTCAAGATACAGGCTGCATGTATAATAAGCCTAACTACGCAAAGATGACATTTTCACTTTTTAATAATTCATTGTAATTACCTTTTTTTTTTATTTAATATAAGCTATTCCACAATTTTAGTCTTTTTTTTTTTTTTTGTTTGACACTTGCAGTGTTTGTTTAGGTTAGGTCAGGACACAGGACAAGTGTTTCCTGACGTGGGTCTTAGTCATATGATGACCCACAGCTGGAGCTTTTGGTCATCTGACCGAGCCTATCCGCTGGCTTACCCCTCCACCCCTTTAAAAATTATGGTTATGATTGTAATCTTTAATTATAAATTTTCCGTTAAGTAAAATGGGAGACGACATCCCATAATAATGATAATAAAAATAAACTTTATTTCTGCAAGTACATGATACAACTTATACAGACCATAGCTGATATCAATGACATACTGTGTAGAAAGTTCCTGGTTACGCAGAGCATTTCCCGCAACTTAATCTTGTCCCCAGGATGCGACCCACACCAGTTGACTAACACCCAGGTACCTACTTACTGCTGGTGAACAGGGACAGCAGGTATCTTAAGGAATCACGTCCAGTGTTTCCACCCGTACCCGAGATCGAACCAAGACCACTCAATGTATGAGCCAAGTGCGCTACCAACCGAGCACCCAGATTTGCAGGTGTTGCATGCTAGGATAAAAACATGTGTGTGATTATGTGTTGACATGATGTGAGGCTAACATTAGTGTGATTGTTGCAGTGTTATGTGGTGTGGGGGGTGTGGTGAGCTGCTGGGCGCTGTGGTGGGTGATGACGCGGCGGTCGGCGCCCAAGCCTGGCCTTCTGCACCTCTTCACTGGCAAGTACCTGCACCCTCAGCGCTGCTGCACCACCTTCCACTGGGACGACCCATCCCTCGTCGGCACCACCGTTGCCTTCACCGTCCAGGTATAGGCCTAACGAATAATAAGGCACAGTACCCTGGCTTGATGCACAAATAACCCGCACATAGTTGAAAATTGTATGAAGTACTGACAAGTTGAATATTAAGATACATGTGCAGCAGTTGGGTATATTCTTGATGAAACGTTTCGCCTACACGGTAGGCTTTTTCAGTCAAATACAGAGGCAGCAGGTGTAGTGAAATTAAGATGTAATCAGTCCATCAACCTTGGAGGATAAAGTATTTGAGATGGTGAGCTGAACTCTCTCCATGGACGCTGAGGGACTGACCACCTCAAATACTTTATCTTCATGGTTGATGGACTGATTACATCTTTATTTCATTACTGCTGCTACCTTTGTATTTGACTGAAGAAGTCTACTGTGTAGGTGAAACATTTCATCAATAATGATACCCAACTGTTGCACATGTCTTAATCTTCAACCTGTACATTGGATTTGAAAAAGGCCTATGACAACGTTTCGGACCGACTTGGACCATTGACTAGTCCCACTAACACGTGAAGGAAATGGAGCCATCTCCTTCGTGTGTTAGTGTGACTAGTCAGTGGTCTAAGTCGGACTGAAACTTCATTAATTTCTTTCTCCAATGTGCGGGTTATTTGTGTAGGTAGGCCTACTTATGAACTGAGAATTTCTTTCTTCAAACTTCTTAACATTCCCCATCTTTGGTCCTGAAAGATAGGTAGACAGTTTTCATATTCAGTATACAGGTTAGTTTTAGAGTTTTCTACACTTGTATTTATAATTATTGCAAATCAGGAGAACAGCAATCCACATGTAGACAAGAAACACATGCTTATGAAATCGTAGTGACAGGGTTGCATACAAACTACGGTACGGGGGGAGTTTTACGATTCACTTGCCGCGAGTACAATCCCCACCCGTACCGTGGTTTGTTTAACAAGAAACAATATTAGTATCATATATTTCAGCTTCACTCTGATGCTGTCTTCAGCAAACAGTTTTGCTGAAGACGGCAATTATGTTTTATTGTACTGTTATGTTTTACTGTCTACATGTGTATTAGTTTGTGTTGATTATTGGCTATTACACTTGTTGATCATTACACCGAGACTGGGGAAGTGACCCCACCCCCAGACTGTCTTGAAAATATTCGTATTTTTTCATCACAAGTGTCTGGAAAATCATATCCTTGATGTTATATGCTCAGTTTCATGTCAGAGTGGATCTGGGTTACACTTTAGTCGAATTAATAAGCCTTGAATGTGATTATGGTTTACCGTGGATACTTTTGTTGTGCGTCTTATATGGGGCAAATGATGTACGTGGTGGAAGAAATGTTTGAATGTGTAGGATATGTGGGTTCAGGGTTTAATGGTGGAAATGTGGTTGTAGGGTGGGTGGGGGATGTGGATGGGTATGGTGGTGTGGGGGAGAGGGGATGTGGATGGGTGGGCATGATGGATGGGTAGGTGGGTGGGGAGAGGGGATGTGGATGGTGGGGAGATGGGATGTGGTGGGTGGGCAGAGGGGATGTAGATGAGTGGGCATGATGGATGGTAGGTGGGTGGGGAGAGGGAGATGTGGAATGGGTGTGGCAATGGGATGGATGGATAGGTGGGTGGGGAGAGGGAGATGTGGATGGGTGGGCATGATGGATGGGTAGGTGGGTGGGGAGAGGGGATGTGGATGGGTGGGCATGATGGATGGATAGGTGGGTGGGCAGAGGGGATGTGGATGAGTGGGCATGATGGATGGGTAGGTGGGTGGGAAGAGGAGATGTGGATGGGTGGGCATGATGGATGGATAGGTGGGTGGGAGAGGGATGTGGATGGGTGGGCATGATGGATGGGTAGGTGGGTGGGGAGAGGAGGATGTGGATGGGTGGGCATGATGGATGGGTAGGTGGGTGGGGAGAGAGGATGTGGATGGGTGGGCATGATGGATGGGTAGGTGGGTGGGGAGAGAGGATGTGGATGGGTGGGCATGATGGATGGGTAGGTGGGTGGGGAGAGGGATGTGGATGGGTGGGCATGATGGATGGGTAGGTGGGTGGGGAGGGTGGGTGTTGGGTCTTTGATGTGTTTGATTTCTCTTCAGAAATGATAGTCTGTTTTTTTTGTATATACTTTGTTTTTAATTAAGATAACACACAACACATACATTTGCCATTACAATTACTGTATTTTACATTATGTATATAATTTATCTGTTTTTACATTTAAATTTGTTCAAGTGTAAGCATGGGGTAACTGTACTGCATAATTTTTGTGAGATCCAAGCCAGCATATAAGATTAATGACAGCTGTTTCAGGCACTGCTTAAAAAAGTTATTTAATGCTATAAAGATATATGAAATACCTGGAGGAATTTCTAAGCGACATTACCTCCTAATATAGCGAGTTTCTGCGTGTCGAGATATAGATACTCTAGTATATACAATATATGTTATATGTAGATGAACATCTCAGTTATATATTGGTATATTTTATAACCCTTCTGATTGTAGTTATAATATTTTTACACAAAATTTTCTGTTTTATAATTTGCCATCTTCAACCTAAATGAGATGTTATTCTGACTTCTTATTCTTGTCTATGTAGTTTTACCAGCGGAATGGTCGACCGTACCCCATCAGTGATGCAGATGGTGTCTTGGTGGAGATAACACAAGGAATTCATAAGGTACTCAAAAGTCTTTTTATTAAGAAATGGGCAAGACACTGAATGACTGAATGACAATGAATGGTTTGCATGAATGAATGAGTGCTCTTCAATGAAGCAGTGGCTATAACAGTTATCTTTGCTAGCATTTTTCCTTTCAAGAAAACTATATTTTTATCTCCTAATGTTACAGTTGTTTCATATATTGTACAATGGAGCCCTTAGATTTATGGTTTTATTGTTTCTCTTTAAATGTAATAATGTCCAGTACCACTAAATTTTGTCTGTATAATTTTTTCAGATGTGGGCTTAATTTATGTTGAGGAAGCTCTATCTCTTCAAATATTCCTTTAACCTCATCAATATTCATAATCATTAGAATAAAATTTCCATGAAAAGATATTTCTACAAGGGAAACCAATAAATACATTTTGAATGAAATTTTATGATTGATATTTGATATTAGGGGTCATTCACCAAGGCAAAAAAAAAAAAAATGGCCACAAATATTTAATTTTTTTTAACACATCTCCCACCAAGGCAGGGTGACCCAAAAAAAGAAATACTTTCACCATCATTCACACTATCACTGTCTTACCAGAGGCGCACAGGTGCAACAGTTTCAGTGTCACTCTAAACAGCAAATATCCCACACCCCTCCTTTAGATTACAGGCGCTGTACTTCCCACCTCTAGGACTCTTAAGTCCAGTTAACCGGTGTCCTTGAATCCCTTCACAAAATATTACCCTTTTCACATTTCAACAGCTCTTAAAGTCCCAAAAACCATTTGTCTCCACTCATTGCTATCTAGCAAGCTCACACATGCCTTCTGTATGTCCAAGTCCTTTGCACTTGAACCTCCTTTTCCCCCTTCCAAACCTTTCCTAGGATAACCTCTACCTACCTTCCCTCCAGGTTGTCCTGTTTTGCTTCATTCTCTAAATGATCAGACCATGTCAGCAACCCCTCCTTAGCTCTTTCAGTAAATCCGCACCTCCTCTGAGTTTCCAAACTATGAATTCTCTACATAATATATACACCACACATTGCCCTCAGACATGACATCTCCACTCCTACATTCCCCTCTTTGCCTCCATGGATAATGTTCTTTATCTCCACAGATACCTCAATGCACCACCCACCTTTTTCCCTTCATCAGTTCTATGGTTTATCTTCTTTCATATACCCATCTCTGACACGTCTACTCCCAAATATCTGAACACATTCACTTCATCTATACTCCCCCCCCCCTCCAATCTGATATCCATTTTTTCTTTACCTAACTCGTTTGATACCCTCAGCACCTTATTCTTATCTATGTTCACTTTCAACTTTCTTCATTTACACACCCTCCCAAACCTTTCCACTAACTTCTACAACTTCTCTTCAGAATCTTCCAAAAGCACAGTATCATCAGCAAAAAAAAGTAGCTGTGCCAAATCTCATTTTTGCATTTGATTCCCTATAATTTAATTCCACCCCTCTGCCCTAAATACCCTAACTTGAGCCTCATTATCTTCATAAAAACTTTACAGCATTTAGTAACTTATCACCTATTCCATACACTTGCAACATCTGCCACATTGCTTCCCTGTCCACCCGATCATATGCATTTTCTAAATCCATGAAAGCAACAAGAACTTCCTTACCTTTATCTAAATACTGTTCACATATATGCTTCAATGTAAACACTTGGTCTACAAATCATTATGCCCTACGTCATATCTCATATATAGTGGAACCTTGGTTTTCAAAACTATAGTTATTCTCTATAAAATGTATTTTTTGTTAATAATTTTGGGTGTCTGGAACAGATTAATTGGATTTACATTATTTCTTATGGGAAATATTAACAGAAATACATTTTATAGAGAATAACCCTAGTTTTACATACAAACTAGGGCATACGAAAACTGAGGTTCCACTGCACTTATTTATCCTCTTTTTTCTTAAAATATGTATTAATTATCTATTACCAAACTTTTTTTCTAAAATAATACAAAGCTCAGTAAGAAGCTCCCCATTATCATTTACCCCTGGCACCCCTAACTTACTTACTATGCCCTCTACAACAGTTGCTCCCACTTTAGGATATAATTACCCCACTACAGTTATTCCACATATCCATCACTATAGTGATTGATATGTGGATCAGAAGGCTGCAGGTAGCAACAGCCTGGTTGACCAGGCACGCATTAGATGAGCCAGGCTCAAGGAGTAGAAAAACTCTCGAAACAAAAGATATCAGATATACTGTCAATTATTGTGAGAGCTACAAGGCATAGCCATGTACTATTGAGTTACATCATCTTATTATTTTTTGTTTACTTTACAAAAATATTTAATATTTAGATTTTGCTATCTTTTATAAGCAAAAATATTCATCTGATGTCGTGACATTATGATTTTTAACACTATAGGGTCTATTGGTGGTACCATTGGTACTATGTGGTCTATAGACCATATAGTACCAATGGTCTATATGGTGTATTGGTTGGTACCACAACTTCTAACCTCCAAGAAAGCAGTGAAGGCTCCCTCAGATATAATGTTCTCAACTGTGGATTTTTTCTTGTATACTGTATTTCAGTGTCTTCAGTTTTAGTTAAAATTCACTTATTTCCTTTTTGATATCCCTACATGAAGAGTGCCTTGATGTTAGTGAAGGGCTCTTGATCTAGGAATTGCAATTACCTGCCCTTGGATTATGAATGATTACCTCCATTCCCTGGACAGTGTATGACCTCTATGGGTTTAGTGCTTCCCCATGATTAAACACTAATAATGATAATCCAGTTTGATAGGGAAATAATCTTCTAACCTAAATCAGCTTAACTGTTCAAATGTTTTGCAATGAGGACCATCTTTGTCATTTTTGCTGAGAAATATTTCATCTTAATTGTTTGCCTTAAAAAGAGGGGACTAACTTTATATTTTTGCTGAGAAACTTTATCTCATTTCTGGTTCTAGGCTCAGATTTATTCTTAAAAAAAAAAACTAAACTAGAATTTTTTTTTTTTTTTTTTTCAACAGGTCAGCCGTCTCCCACTGAGGCAGGGCGACAAATATTGTCGAGTATTCCTAACACTGCAGTGTATTACCCCTCAAAAGATGTTCCTTGATGCTAGTGAGGGGCTCTTGATCTAGGGAATTGGATCTGTGCTCCAATTTCCTGAAGCCAGAATACCTTCCATCCCCCCCACCACAGGCACTGTATGATCTCTATGGGTTTAGTGCTCCCCCATGATTATAATAATGCAGTGTATTATTTAGATAACAAGCAACTTGTTTTGTAGGTTGGCGTAGTAACAGAACTTGGTGGCACTGGAGAGGCAGAGATAAACACAGCAAGATGCAAGTTCAGCGCACGTCAGGCTGGACAGTACAAGATCTCCATCCTTCTTGCCAATCAGCATATCCGTGGTAGCCCTTTTATTAAAAATTTCCTTCCTGGTAAGTTCCTTTCAGAATATATACAATGTAATAAATATATATATATATATTATAATATATATATATATATATATATTATAATATATATAAAATATATATATATATATATATATAATATATATATTATATATACACACACACACACACAGTATATAATTTTTTTTTTTTTTTTTTTTTTTTTTTTTTTTTTTTTTTTCCGCTGCATGACCCGTTTCACTTCACTTAGTTTAGATTGGGTAAGTTTATTATCTTTGTTTCCTCTTACCTATTATGTTTTATGGTTTGTTTCCTCTTACCTGCGATGTTTGATGCTTTGCTTCCTCTTACTATGTTTGATGCTTTGTTTACACTTATGTCTGATGCTTTATTTCCACTTACATATTATGTCCAATGCTTTGTTTCCACTTACATATTATGTCCAATGCTTTATTTCCACTTACATATTATGTCCAATGCTTTATTTCCACTTACATATTATGTCCAATGCTTTGTTTCCACTTACCTGTTATGTCCGATGCTTTGTTTCCACTTACCTGTTATGTTTGATGCTTTGTTTCCACTTACCTGTTATGTCCGATGCTTTGTTTCCTTTGGAACCTTGATGCCCTTGAAAGGGTGACCCCACACAAACACACACTAACCTAAGACATTTTCTGTGCCCTTAAACATTATAACTTGGCTTATGAATTAGTACCTGAAATCTTTGTTAAAATATATTCTATATGCTGGCCTGGCTGTCTTTAAAGTTATTTAGCTGTCCCTGTTTCACCAAGACAAAAGAATGCAGTACAGTCAAACCTTCAGATTCAGAAGGATTATGCTCATAGAAGTTTTGGAAATCTAGTAATATATTTTGTTTTCTACACACTGGCTGTATCTCACTGATGCAAGGTAACCTAAATAGAAAAACGAAAGTTTTTCTTTTTACATTTGGTAATTTATACAGGAGAAGGGGTTACTTAGGAGTCTGTGGAGACAAAGAACTTTGTCCTTGGAGGCAAAGAGGGGAATGTATGAGAGTATAGTTTTACCAACGCTCTTATATGGGTGTGAAGCGTGGGTGATGAATGTTGCAGCGAGGAGAAGGCTGGAGGCAGTGGAGATGTCATGTCTGAGGGCAATGTGTGGTGTGAATATAATGCAGAGAATTCGTAGTTTGGAAGTTAGGAGGAGGTGCGGGATTACCAAAACTGTTGTCCAGAGGGCTGAGGAAGGGTTGTTGAGGTGGTTCGGACATGTAGAGAGAATGGAGCGAAACAGAATGACTTCAAGAGTGTATCAGTCTGTAGTGGAAGGAAGGCGGGGTAGGGGTCGGCCTAGGAAGGGTTGGAGGGAGGGGGTAAAGGAGGTTTTGTGTGCGAGGGGCTTGGACTTCCAGCAGGCATGCGTGAGCGTGTTTGATAGGAGTGAATGGAGACAAATGGTTTTTAATACTTGACGTGCTGTTGGAGTGTGAGCAAAGTAACATTTATGAAGGGATTCAGGGAAACCGGCAGGCCGGACTTGAGTCCTGGAGATGGGAAGTACAGTGCCTGCACTCTGAAGGATGGGTGTTAATGTTGCAGTTTAAAAACTGTAGTGTAAAGCACCCTTCTGGCAAGACAGTGATGGAGTGAATGATGGTGAAAGTTTTTCTTTTTCGGGCCACCCTGCCTTGGTGGGAATCGGCCGGTGTGATAATAAAAAAATAATATAAGGGGTTACTAGCCTCTTTCTCCCGGCATTTTAGTCGCCTCTTACGACACACATGGCGTACAAAGGAAGAATTCTTTTCCACTTATCATTATAATTTTTTTTTTTCAGATATTTGCTTATTTTGTTTTTCAGGATATCTCTTTCTAAATATTGTACAAGTTTATTTCAATATACATTGTTTATATAGAAACGGATGACAAATGAGGGCATGCAATGCATTTTAGGCAGAGCATTTCAGGCATCCATAATGAAGAACGACCAGAAACTAAATAAGATTTAGTCATGGAAAAGCTATTGAGTACTTTATGAATGGAAATCCAGTGAGTAGTTTTCAGTTTAACCCTTAAACTGTCCAAACGTAAATTTATGTTCATTCGCGTAGATCTACGTTTGGGGCACTACACAAGTGAACATAGATCTACATTTGGACAGTTTAAGGGTTAAATGTCATGCACAAAAGAAAATGAATGGATGTAGTCACAATTTGTGAATAATTCAAATCTTTTTGGGAAGTGTTTTCAGTAAAATCATTGCATAATAGTATGTCTTAAATTGTGAATATTGTGAATTTGAAAGTGTGATTGTACTGTATATGAAAAAAAAAGTGAGGTTTCTCCTCAGGAAGAACATAAATAATGGTAGAAATACTGACAAAATGTTAAGTAAATGGACACAGATGCAACTACATGTAATGTAACATTTTATTGTGGCAGTGTTTTACTCTCCAGGAGCTTTGTTAAGCTGCTACGTCTTGACACAGCTCCCAGAGAGCGAAATGTTGTCACAGTAATTATTATTATAATCATAACCAAATGCTAAACCCATAAGGGTTGTTGCCACAATGAAATATCCATTAGTTGCATCTGTGTTCATTTACCTAACAAGAACATACATAAATCTACACTTGGGATACAAGAAAGTTCAGCCATTGGCATGGAAATGTGGATGATGCTTGGTCATTCAGGTTAATTATTATTGAGTCTCGGAAGTAACCAGATGGGTAACCTTGTGGAAACATGGTCAGCCTTACCACTACCACTCAAAATATGTACATTAGCATGCTGTACAAGGAATTATATTATTACATTCATGGAGAACTAAACCCCCACGGGGTCATACAATACCTGGGAGGAATAGGAGGCAATTAGGTTTGATCCAAGGACAGGGAAAATCAAGAGCCTATCCAGCATCATACCACCCCTTAACCCTTTCACTGTCTAAACTCCCAAAATGAATATTGCTTCCAGTGTCCACTTTTTTTTTTTTTTTAAACAAATTCTTCTAAAATAGTAGAAATTTTTTTTTCTGAAGGTAAAGATATCAAAATTAGAAAATCTGATGGAAAACTTGCAGAATTATGCAGGCTCATAATTCTGCAAGTTAGTAGTTCAGGTGCTATTTACACATAGGCAATTAGGCTCACCTTGGGTCATATTTTAAGTCATGTCCTTTGCTTCGTTCAGCCAAATTCTTAACTATTTCACCTTTCGTTGTATTGATTGAGCACAAGAAACTGCCCAACTATTACAACTACCCTGTAGATTACACAGAATTCAGTAATTTGACCAGTTTTACACAAAAATAAAAAAATATCAATTTAAAAATAGTGCAAAATGTGCAGTGTAGGCATGGCACTAAAACAACATTTCCTCTTTTTATTAATAATATCCCCACGCCTCTCCCATATTACACTTGTATTCCATTTTGAATTCATTGTCACATAAAATAGATTTAATCTCTATTTTCCAGATAAAATATAACCAGGAATGATCGGTCATGGTTTAAGGCATCCCAGTAATTGAATCAGACATATGATAAACCCCTAAAACAGACCAGGGGATATAGGGGGACCTTTCTGATCCTCAGGAAATTGGCAAAAATCGAATATTTCTGTTACTTTCAGCCTAATTTCAAGCTACTTTCAGTCCTGAAACTTGCCAAAATCATCTCTGTCAGTAGTGTATTGTCCATTATATCAAATTATACCAAGAAACTGCCAAGAAAACCATAAAAACCTCCCTACAAAACATCTCAAATTTGAACCAAATACAAGCTTAGAGTTTTACTATTCCCATCATACACTGTAGGGGGACAGATTTTTTTTTTTTTTTATACTATGCGCAGTCACCACATAGACTCGTTATCTCATATCAAGGTCAAAATTTACTGCTCACAGCTTATCTGAGTAAGCTGAACTCATGACTTAGAACTGCATGAAGGACCCTGGCCTCAATGACATAGTTCTACATAATGGCCACTGAAAGAGTTTAGAAACTTGGTGAAATCACATGCACTAATTTGATTTTTGTTGCATTAAAAATATAAACTGCTTACCCAGTCATAAAATTGAAATGCATCATTTGTGTAATTATAACATTGCTGCCTCTTCCGGTAAGCTCTATTCTGTAATGATAAATGTTATATCAATGCCAACATATTACTAACACAAAGTGCTGTTCAAGGAAACTCTACTGGGAGCTGTGTTTCATCTGCACAACAGGCTTTAGACCTATTGCTGGAGGTGTTAGTCCTTGACCTAGATACTTTTGATAAACCTGAGCTAAGTTTCAGGTTAATAGCTAGGTTAGACACTACAGCACAGATGCTACTATCCAACCAAGTTGTGTTAAGTTCATCTTGTTACCTCCACTAATGTATCAACCTTATCATGGTTGGGGTTCACGTTGCATCTCCAAGTCAGCAAGCAATGTCTGCAGGCACCTGTGGGTAGGAATGGTGAATGGAATGACTCCTTTTGTTTTGGCAGCTGGTAAGAGCCAGGTTTAACTGTTGTCACCAACATTGGTCATTCATATAGGTTATCTGTTTTATCCACAAGAGGAGGTTAGCCTTGGGGCAGCCCTGTGTTCAGTAGTTTTATATTCTGTCTGAGAGATGCTGGTGAAGGGAATCTTTGTAAGAGCATAGGTAGACTTTCTTATTACAGGGCTCTCAAGTGTATGTCTCTGCCTTATAGGTAGTCAATACTGGGAGCCTCTGAGAGAAGTAGGAAACTAGCCAACATCACACTGTACTCAGACCCTTTATCCCTTAGTATGTAGCATTCTTAGCTTGGGTTCCATTCTTATTTCACTCTTACTAGTGTGGACTTTTGTTATTACTGACGAGGGCTCGTCAGTTGGGCTACTAGGCCTGTGAGTACAGTGGACCCCCGGTTAACGATATTTTTTCACTCCGTAAGTATGTTCAGGTGCCAGTACTGACCGAATTTATTCCCATAAGGAATATTGTGAAGTAGATTAGTCCATTTCAGACCCCCAAACATACACGTACAAACGCACTTACATAAATACACTTACATAATTGGTCGCATTCGGAGGTAATCGTTATGCGGGGGTCCACTGTATCTTTTAATTGGAAGATACCTGACAACTGTCCCCCATTATCAGTTGTTTTCAGATATACTATCACCGCAGTCTTTTATGACTACAATTTATCACTCTTCCCGCATCTTTTCTCTCATTACCTCAAGGAAATCCACACTACCATTATTCTGGTTTTAGCTGTTTTGTAGTTTTAAACAAAATAATTATTTTTATATCTCCCCAATTATTGCATTCTTGGCAATGAACATACAATATTCTGGATATTCAACATTTTAGAACCTTCCAATTCTTCACAGGCATTTGTTCTTTTAAGACTCATTACCCAGTTTTCTCCCAGCTCTTCTATATTTGCTGGCAAAGTTATTGGTCTGAGTTGAAGACGAAATAACTGTTCTCTTTAAAAACCGCACTTAGGCCTCTAGTCATCAACAACATTGGCTGACAGTTGAGAAACTTTCTTAAGACGGTACATTTGACATGTCAGTCACCCATGGTTATCTCGTCACGTTTCTGTCTGTCCTGGACCATTGTCAAGTTCAATGTGACTTGACAGCAGTCCAGGAAGAACAGAAACATCATCACGAGGTTCATCGCCTAAGTGCAGGTTATTTGAGAGTCGTTCCAGCCATGTTATTGTGACTTTTTATTCTATTATTATTACAATGAAAAATGTGCTAATCTTGAATGGGCCATTTAGTTAGTATAAACAAGTTTCAGGACAGTATAAATTAAAATTTGCTTTCTTCAGGCCCCCCAGATGCTAGCAAGACTGTGATGGTGCAACACAGTTCCACAGTTGTCTGCACAGCCAGTCAGCCTCACCACATATTGATAGAACCTCGGGACCAATACCACAATGTCTGCTCTTTCTCTCCTGGCCAAGCTGATACAGATAATTACTCTATTGCTATTGTGGAGGTCAGTGTTTACATGCATCTTCAGCCTGCTCTCTCTCTCTTTTTTTTTTTCTATCTCATACTTTATATATTTACAAAATCTGACCCCACAAAAAAAGTACAATTCTTTTTAAAGGGCTTTAATTTTTGGTATATAGTATTATTATAATCAGAACTAAATACTAAACCTACAAGGGTCATACACTTTTATTATATAATCTTATGAAGTGGAACATTGTCAGTTGATATTTATAATTAAAAAAAACATTAATTTATTAACCCGTAAACGGTCCAAACGTATATATACGTTTTTTCAACATTTGAAAGTATGTAAAAAAAGTAGATCTTCTTTTTGTTTTTTTATACATATTTGAAAATCTGTAAAAACTTTGATCTACTTTTTTTTTTTTTTTTTTTTTTTTAGATTTGAAAATATGTAAAAAAACGTAGATCTACTTTTGCAGCACTACACATGTGAACGTAGATCTGCTTGGACCGTTTACGGGTTAATATTGTAAAGCTTAAATCAGTATAATTTTCTTTTTGTGTAAATATGTTTTTTGTTTATGGATGCACTGTTATTATTATTATAATTATTGAAAGCAGCTTTGATTGACTATATAAATTTAGATATTTCTTATATTTTTGTTTTAACCCTTTCAGGGTCCAGAGGCCAAATTTCAAAGTGCACACCAGGGTCCAAGAATTTTCCAAAAAAAATTTTGTTATTTTTTCTTATGAAATGGTAGAGAATCTATTTCTGAAGGCTATAAAACAAAAAGTACGAAATTTGATGGAAAATTGACAAAATTATGCTCTCGCGAATTTTGATGTGTCAGCGATATTTACGAATCGGCGACTTTGTCGACTTTGACTCCCATTTTAGGCCAATTACGTTATTCCAGTCGGCCAAATTCTTAGTTATTTCACTAATATTACTTCTATTCTATCGATTGAGCACAAGAAATCACCAAGTCAACTGTTTCAACTACAAAATAAAGTGATTGGAAATTGGTAATTTGGCCAATTTAGCACAAAGTTCAAAATATTCCAATTTCAAAATAGGGTCCAGAATAAACAACGTAGGTATTCCTGGCACTAAACTAACATTTCCTCTGTTCATTAGTTATGTTTTGAGGCTTTACAAATGAATTTCATTTTCATTTTTTATTCACATAATGAATTTTTATTCAAACCAAAAAATAGAAGATTTACTGTTATGCAATATTGTAATAATTGTATAAATATCATCACCACATTTGTGAATGTATATTAGACCCACCAGCTGGCGTGTATTAGACGTGTGAGGTCATTTGTTTATTCTTCAACATCGGCAAAAATTTAACATTTCCGCTACTTTGAGCTCAGCTTCAAGTCATTTCTAGTGCTAAAATCAATCAAAATCATCTCCATTTCTGTAATGTGTCTTCCGTTCTATCAAATGAGACCAAGAAATTGCAAATACAACTATAAAAAAACATACGAAAAAACATTGCAATGTTGCTGTTTTAATCAAAAAACACGGTCTCGGTTAATTTTCTCAGTTTATACACTGTGTGCTGCAGGATTTGTTTTGTGGTGCACACATACCACGTAGATGTATTCTCTCATATCTAGGCCCAAATTTACCACTCAGCTTATCAGAGTGAGCTGAGCTCATGGCATAGATCTACGGTTTGGACCTTGAACGTAAAGCCGTAGATCTACGGCACGGACCCTGGAAGGGTTAATAGGGGTAAAGTGTTATTCATTGGGGTCATATAGTGCCTGAGAAATGGGAGATACTCAGGTTTGATCCAAGGAAAGATGAAGAGGCCCTGAGTGGTGTCAAAGCACCTCCCTTGAGGAGTATATATAGTTGGAGAATACTTGATAAAATTGTAATTATTTAAATTTGGATCTAAAAAAAATTCTGGAATTTCTGAATTCAGGAAATTTAAGAGCAGTATTTTTTCTTGACTTTGTGGAAGTAATTTGTGTGTAATTTTTTTTTCAACACACTGGCCACATCCCGTCAAGACAGGTGACCCAAAAAGGGATTTTGTTTTTAATTTATTAATTTATCCAGAAGGGGTTACTAGCCCTTTGCCCCTGGCATTTTAGTCACTTTTTTTTTTTTACAAGTTGGCCGTCTCCCACTGAGGCAGGGTAACCCAAAAAGAAAGAAAATCCCCAAAAAGAAAATGCTTTCGTCATCATTCAACACTTTTACCTCACTCACACATAATCACTGTTTTTGCAGAGGTGCTCAGAATACAACAGTTTAAAGCATATATGTATAACGATACACAACATATCCTTCCAAACTGCCAATATCCCAAACCCCTCCTTTAAAGTGCAGGCATTGTACTTCCCATTTCCAGGACTCAAGTCCGACTATATAAAAATAATCGGTTTCCATGAATCCCTTCACTAAATATTACTCTGCTCACACTCCAACAGCTTGTCAGGTTCCAAATAACATTCATTTCCATTCACTCCTATCTAACATGCTCATACATGCTTGCTGGAAGTCCAAGCCCCTCGCCCACAAAACCTCCTTTACCCCCTCCCTCCAATCTTTTCGAGGACGACCCTTACCCCGCCTTCCTTTCCCTACAGATTTATACGCTCTCCATGTCATTCTGCTTTGATCCATTCTCTCTAAATGACCAGACCACCTCAACAACCCCTCTTCAACCATCTGACTAATTTCCACACTTCGAATTTTCTGCATAATATTTACACCACACATTGCCCTTAGACAGGACATCTCCACTGCCTCCAACCACCTCCTCACTACAGCATTCACAACCCAAGCTTCACACCCATATAAGAGTGTTGGTACTACTATACTTTCATACATTCCCTTCTTTGCCTCCATAGATAACATTTTTTGTCTCCACATATACCTCAATGCACCACTCACCTTTTTTCCCTCATCAATTCTATGATTAACCTCATCCTTCATAAATCCATTCGCTGACACGTCAACTCCCAAATATCTTAAAACATTCACTTCTTCCACACTACTCCTCTCCAATTTGATATCCAGTTTTCTCTTTATCTAAATCATTTGATACCCTCATCACCTTACTCTTTTCTAGGTTTACTTTCAACTTTCTACCTTTACAAACACTCCCAAACTCGTCCACTGACCTTTGCAATTTTTCTTTAGAATCTCCCATAAGCACAGTATCATCAGCAAAAAGTAACTGTGTCAATTCCCATTTTGTATTTGATTCCCCATAATTTAATCCCACCCCTCTCCCGAACACCCTAGCATTTACTTCTTTTACAACCCCATCAATAATTTATATTAAACAACCATGGTGACATTACACATCCCTGTCTAAGATCTACTTTTACCGGGAAGTAGTCTCCTTCTCTTCTACACACCCTAACCTGAGCCTCACTATCCTCATAAAAACTTTTTACAGAATTTTGTAACTTACCACCTATTTCATATACTTGCAACATCTGCCACATTGCTCCCCTATCCACTCTATCATATGCCTTTTCTAAATCCATAAGTGCAATGAAAACTTACTTACCTTTATCTGAATACTTTTCACATATATGCTTTAATGTAAACACTTGATCTACACATCCCCTACCCACTCTAAAACCTCCTTGCTCATCTGCAATCCTACATTCTGTGTTACCTCTAATTCTTTCAATAATAACCCTATCATACACTTTACCTGGTAAATAATTACAATATGATTGCAGCTAGAAGGAGGTTGGACAATGGATGCAGGTAGCAGTATTGTTTATGACCACACATCACGACGCATCAGTATCCAAGTTACACTTCAGCGCCCAGGCTGCTACAGAGCTCACTTAACATACTGTGACACAACACTCACTAATGGAAACTTTGATATAATTGTGCTGACAAGTAAGTGTTACATTTTGTGTTATATATTGTTGCATAAAAACCTTTTCTTAGATTTGGATATAGGTCGACAGGTAGTTGTGTGATATTTAATCTCTGAGTACTGTAATGATTCTGCCTGTATTTTTCATGTTTTGTTCTCTTTGTGAATTTTCTAGCACTAATGGTATGATCACATAGAATCTCCCCCAAACATTTTAAATACCATGTTTGTCTGAATGTTTTATGTAGGTGAAGCAAACATATTGAAGTTGGAATATATTTGGTTAGAAATATGAATAGTTGGCACAAGTAACAACTTTAGAGAAGTGTGGAGATAGTGAACATAGAATTATCAAGTGGAAATAATTCTGTTACCAGAGAAAAGCACCATCAATGATAGCAGGTACTGACATGAGTGGTGCATATCTGGTTGATCCACACTTGCCAGTTTGCTACCTCTCTGTGATGTAAATAGTTTAGAAAACCAACAAGTTGAAGAATGAGATATTTATGCAACTTTCGGGAATCTTTATTGTGGAAATGTTTTGCCGGCCAGTGAACCAAACATGTCAACTCCAGCCAGAGAGACTGATTACCTCAGCTCCTCCTCATCTATCATTCTTCTCTGTATTGAACCGAGAAGCCACTGGCTGGCAAAACATTTTCACAATAAGGATTGTAATGTTGTACAAGTGTCTCATTCTGTATTCCTTATCACTGAGGACATGCTTTTCCTCATTTAAAAGACAGTGATGAATTTACATTAATGCCAGAGTAATTTAATATTTTTCCTTAATGCTTGAACAGCTGACACTTCTTAAACACAGTGGTACCCCGAGTTTCAGCCATAATTCGTTCCAGAAGGCTGTTCGAGTGCCGTTACCAAACAAATTTGTTCAAATCAGGAATAATGTAAATTAGATTAGTCTGTTTCAGACCCCCAAAAATACACTTACAAAAGCACTTTAAATAATACACTTACATAATTGTTTGAGTTGGGAACTGTAAGAAACTCGTGGTACCACTGTATGTATCTTTAACCCGTAAACGGTCCAAGCAGATCTATGTTCACATGCGTAGTGCTCCAAAAGTAGATTACGTTTTTTTTACATATTTTCAAATATAACAAAAAAGCAAAAGTAGATCAAAGTTTTTTTTACACATTTTCAAATGTAAAAAAAGAAAAAAAAGATCTACTCTTTTTTCATACTTTCACATGTTGAAAAAACGTATACAGGTCTCCCTCAACATTAGCGTTTTCAACTTTTGCGGGCTTCACACATTTGCGAATTCCCAACCGCCAAATTCCCAGCTGCCAAATCAAATTTAAGTTTACCGCCACGAGTCCTTACTACCCTCCCTCCGACCCCCCACAACTGGCAGCCAGCCCTCCCACCACTGTGTCGTGAGTGTTTTGTTTGTTCATTATTTGCTATTAAACTACAGTATAAATAATGTCAACCCATTTATGACTGCATATTGGAATGGCTATTTGGACAGGTATTGGAAGGTGACATCATGTGTTTACTCTTGAACACAGCAAAGAATCAAACATTTCTGCTACTGCTAATAATAATAATAATAATATTAATAATAATAATAATAAATATTGGCAGTTTGGAGGGATATGTTGTGTATCTCTATACGTATATGCTTCTAAACTGTTGTATTCTGAGCACCTCTGCAAAAGCAGTGATAATGTGTGAGTGTGGTGAAAGTGTTGAATGATGATGAAAGTATTTTCTTTTTGGGGATTTTCTTTCTTTTTTTTTGGGTCACCCTGCCTCGGTGGGAGACGGCCGACTTGTTGAAAAAAAAAAAAATATAAATACGATAGAACTGAAGAAGGAAATTGTACAAAAATACGAGGGTTGAAGCAGTGGTGGAGGAAGTGGTTGACTCATCGTCAGTGTGACTTTGTTTATGCTGGAGTGAGTATTAGTCTCCGTGCTCTTCCAAACATTTCACAATAATTCATTGTATTTGGTGCTTGTAGATTGAGTGTGACTGGAGTGGTTGAGGCAGTGGTTGAGGCAGTGGTAGAGGCAGTGGTAGAGGCAGTTGAGCGTGTGAGGCAGTGGTAGAGGCAGTGGGCGTTGAGGCAGTGGTAGAGGCAGTGGTAGAGGCAGTGGTTGAGGCAGTGGTAGAGGCAGTGGTAGAGGCAGTGGTGAGGCATGGTGAGGCAGTGGGTGAGGCAGTGGTGAGGCAGTGTAGAGGCAGTGGTGAGGCAGTGGTAGAGGCAGTGGTAGAGGCAGTGGTTGAGGCAGTGGTAGAGGCAGTGGTAGAGGCAGTGGGTGAGGCAGTGGTAGAGGCAGTGGTTGAGGCAGTGGTAGGCAGTGGGTTAGAGGCAGTGGTGAGGCAGTGTAGAGGCAGTGGTAGAGGCAGTGGTGAGGCAGTGGTGAGGCAGTGGTAGAGGCAGTGGTTGAGGCAGTGATAGAGGCAGTGGTAGAGGCAGTGGGTGAGGCAGTGGTAGAGGCAGTGGTAGAGGCAGTGGTAGAGGCAGTGGTAGAGGCAGTGATAGAGGCAGTGGTTAGGCATGGTGAGGCAGTAGGCTGTAGAGGCAGTGGTAGAGGCAGTGGTAGAGGCAGTGGTGAGGCAGTGGGTAGAGGCAGTGGTTAGAGGCAGTGGGGTGAGGCAGTGGTTGAGGCAGTGGTGAGGCAGTGGTAGAGGCAGTGGTAGAGGGAGGGTGAGGCAGTGATAGAGGCAGTGGATAGAGGCAGTGGTGTAGCAGGGTGGCAGTGGTAGAGGCAGTGGTAGAGGCAGTGGTAGAGGCAGTGGTAGAGGCAGTGGGTGAGCAGGGGCAGTGAGGTGCAGTGGCTGGAAGTGTAGACAGTGGTAGAGGCAGTGGTAGAGGCAGTGTGTAGAGGCAGTGGTTGAGGCAGTGGTGAGGCAGTGGTGAGGCAGTGGTAGAGGCAGTGGTAGAGGCAGTGGTAGAGGCAGTGGTAGAGGCAGTGGTAGAGGCAGTGGTAGAGGCAGTGGTGAGGCAGTGGTAGAGGCAGTGGTAGAGGCAGTGGTAGAGGCATAGGTGGGTGAGGCAGTGGTAGAGGCAGTGGTAGAGGCAGTGGTTGAGCAGTGGTAGAGGCAGTGGTAGAGGCAGAGTGGTGAGGTAGCAGTGGTAGAGGCAGTGGTAGAGGCAGTGGTAGAGGCAGTGGTAGAGGCAGTGGTAGAGGCAGTGGTAGAGGCAGTAGGGTGAGAGGCAGTGGTAGAGGCAGTGTAGAGGCAGTGGTAGAGGCAGTGGTAGAGGCAGTGGTAGAGGCAGTGGTAGAGGCAGTGGTAGAGGCAGTGGTAGAGGCAGTGGTAGAGGCAGTGGTGGCTGTAGAGGCAGTGGTAGAGGCAGGTGAGTGAGGCAGTGGTTGAGGCAGTGGTAGAGGCAGTGGTAGCAGGAGGCAGTGGTAGAGGCAGTGGTAGAGGCAGTGGCTGTAGAGGCAGTGGTTAGAGGCAGTGGTGAGGCAGTGGTAGAGGCAGTGGTAGAGGCAGTGGTAGAGGCAGTGGTAGAGGCAGTGGTAGAGGCAGTGGTGAGGCAGTGGTAGAGGCAGTGGTAGAGGCAGTGGTAGAGGCAGTGGTGAGGCAGTGGTAGAGGCAGTGGTAGAGGCAGTGGTGAGGCAGGTGGGCAGTGTGAGGCAGTGGTAGAGGCAGTGGGTTAGAGGCAGTGTGGTTAGAGGCAGTGGTAGAGGCAGTGGTTAGAGGCAGTGGTAGAGGCAGTGGGTTGAGGCAGTGGTAGAGGCAGTGGTAGAGGCAGTGGTAGAGGCAGTGGTAGAGGCAGTGGTAGAGGCAGTGGTAGAGGCAGTGGTAGAGGAGCAGTGGTAGAGGCAGTGTGGTAGAGAGGCAGTGGTAGAGGCAGTGGTAGAGGCAGATGGTAGAGGCAGTGGAGCTGTAGAGCAGTGGTTGAGGCAGTGGTAGAGGCAGTGGTGAGCAGTGGTAGAGGCAGTGGTAGAGGCAGTGGTAGAGGTGTAGGCTGGTAGAGGCAGTGGTGAGCAGTGGTAGAGGCAGTGGTAGAGGCAGTGGTAGAGGCAGTGGTGAGGCAGTGGTAGAGGCAGTGGTAGAGGCAGTGGTAGAGGCAGTGGTAGAGGCAGTGGTAGAGGCAGTGGTAGAGGCAGTGGTGAGGCAGTGGTAGAGGCAGTGGTAGAGGCAGTGGTAGAGGCAGTGGTAGAGGCAGTGGTAGAGGCAGTGGTAGAGGCAGTGGTAGAGGCATGGTGAGGCAGTGGTAGAGGCAGTGGTGAGGCAGTGGTAGAGGCAGTGGTAGAGGCATGTGGTGTAGAGGCAGTGGTAGAGGCAGTGGTAGAGGCAGTGAGAGGCAGTGGTAGAGGCAGTGGTAGAGGCAGTGGTAGAGGCAGTGGTTGAGGCAGTGGTAGAGGCAGTGGTAGAGGCAGTGGTAGAGGCAGTGGTAGAGGCAGTGGAATGTTGAGGCAGTGGTAGAGGCAGTGGTAGAGGCAGTGGTAGAGGCATGTTGGTAGAGGCAGTGGTAGAGGCAGTGGTAGAGGCAGTGGTAGAGGCAGTGGTTTGAGGCAGTGGTAGAGGCAGTGGTAGAGGCAGTGGTAGAGGCAGTGGTAGAGGCAGTGTAGAGGCAGTGTGAGGCAGTGGTAGAGGCAGTGGTAGAGGCAGTGGTAGAGGCAGTGGTAGAGGCAGTGGTAGAGGCAGTGGTTGAGGCAGTGGTAGAGGCAGTGTAGATGGCAGTGTGAGGCAGTGGTAGAGGCAGTGTGAGCATGGTAGAGGCATGTAGCGTTGAGGCAGTGGTAGAGGCAGTGTAGAGGCAGTGGTAGAGGCAGTGGTTGAGGCAGTGTAGAGGCAGTGGTGAGGCAGTGGTAGAGGCAGTGGTAGAGGCAGTGGTAGAGGCAGTGGTAGAGGCATGTGGTAGAGGCAGTGGTAGAGGCAGTGGTAGAGGCAGTGGTGAGGCAGTGGTAAGGCAGTGGTTGAGGCATAGATGTGTAGAGGCAGTGGTGAGGCAGTGTAGTAGGCAGTGAAGGCAGTGGTAGAGGCAGTGGTAGAGGCAGTGTAGAGGCAGGCTGAGGCGTGGTAGAGGCAGTGGTTGAGGCAGTGGTAGAGGCTAGTGGTAGGCATTAGAGGCAGTGGTAGAGGCAGTGGTAGAGGCAGTGGTAAGAGCAGTGGTAGGCAGTGGTAAGGCAGTGCATTGAGGCATGGTAGAGCAGTGTAGAGGCATGGTAGAGGCAGTTGAGGGTGATGGCAGTGTAGAGGCAGTGGTAGAGCAGTGTAGAGGCAGTGGTAGAGCAGTGTAAGCATGTAGAGGCAGTGTAAGCTGTGAGCATGTAAGCAGTGGTAAGGCATGTGCATGATTACGTGTAAGCAGTATGACAGTGTAAGCATGTAAGCATGTAGACATGTATTACATGTATACATGTAAAGTATAACATGTAAGCAGTGTAGCTATGATCAGTGATAAGCAGTGTAAGCAGTGTATGAAGCATCAGCATGCCTACAGCATGAGTACATGGTAGCACTGTTACACGTGTAAGCATGTACATGTACCATGTTACAGTGCTACGACATGTAGCCATGGTAATACATGAGCACGTTAGCAGTGTAGACATGCCTCTACAGCATGTAAGCAGTGCTCTGAGTCATGGTAAGCATGCGTAAGCATTTACATGCTATGACATGTTACATGTCACCATGTAACTGCTTTACATGTAAACATGTTATACTAGCATTACATGTCATTAACAATGTAACCACTGCTACACTGCTTACATGCACTTACCATGTTACATGCGTTACACTGCTGCTATACTGCTAACCACTGCTTACCATGCATACATGCTACCATGTCTAATACATGTTACCACTAGCCTCTAACACTGCATTTAACCACATAGTACTACTAATCTACATTGCCTTAATAACAAATTATTAAATGTTTAGCTAAAGACATGAGACATACACTCTCACTCCTCTAACAACGTCTACCACTGCACTGATCAACCACTCCTCACCACTGCCTCTATCAATCCCACCATTGCCTTACATTCCTCTACACTGCTCTACGATGCTTACCACTGCTTCACTCATTACTATACCATGCCTCACCACTGCTTACCATTGCTTCCATGACTACTATCATGTCTCACTTCCATACTGCCTCTACCACTGCCTTGCCATGCTCATAACATGTACATATCTAACTGCAGTCTTACTCAAATCTACTAACCAACAAATACACTCACGACACTTACTGCTGCATGTCAGAGTATCTCACACTGCCGTTACGCAGTCTACACTGACTACACTGTCTACCTGCTTAACATCGATTATTTGTACAATTGCTTTTCAGTCTTTAGTTCTTCACATTAAGCTATTACATTTCCTCATTACATGATTGGCACAAACACACTGTTTCCATCTGCTCTTCACGCTAACCACTGATGTACAACCCTTCCAGTCTACCCGTACAATACCTCCAATTGCACCAATATAATTTAATTATTAGTGCAAATTAGGTATTTGGCAAGAAAGACTAATACTCACTCCTCACAAATCATAACAATCGGTGAGTGGCAACCTACTTCTCTATACAATCGTTAACCGGCACGTAATTTTGCATACAAGTTTTTTAATCGCATACGTTATAGTTATAATTAACATAATATTATTATTATTATTATTAGCAGTAGCAGAAATGTTTGATTCTTTGCTGTGTTCAAGAGTAAACACATGATGTCACCTTCCAATACCTGTCCAAATAGCCATTCCAATATGCAGTCATAAATGGGTTGACATTATTTATACTGTAGTTTAATAGCAAATAATGAACAAACAAAACACTCACGACACAGTGGTGGGAGGGCTGGCTGCCAGTTGTGGGGGTCGGAGGGAGGGTAGTAGGGACTTGCAGTGGTGGAGGCAGTGGTATTTAATAACATACATGTTGTTAAGGCATAACGTATGTATTTAGTACAATTTACGACGTTTTCATGTATTTTATGATTGTTCATGGTTCAACAAGTTAAGGAAGCAGTATTGTATTATATTTTCCTACAATATACATGTATTGAGGCACCAAACATTCACGGTTTTTCAACATTCGCGAGGCTCTTGATCCCCTAACCCTCGTGAATGTTGAGGGAGACCTGTACAGTCTACCCCCGCATAACAATTACCTCCGAATGTGACCAATTATGTAAGTTTATTTATGTAAGTGCATTTGTACGTGTATGTTTGGGGGTCCGAAATGGACTAATCTACTTCACAATATTTCTTATGGGAACAAATTCGGTCAGTACGGGCACCTGAACATACTTCTGGAGTGAAAAAATATCGTTAACCGGGGGTCCACTGTATATACGTTTGGACCATTTACGGGTTAAAATTCTGCATTGGAGTACAGTTACCTAAGTAACATAAATATTTCTGTTCCTTTTTTACTAGTTGTATGTTTCCTCTGAATATATTTCCTAGAAACAGTTTCATTTTGTGAATGAAATGCAAAGAATTTTGTTAGTTTTAAGGAATTAAATTATCTTGAAATATTTAAATTTAAACGTTTAAACAAAAGAAAATATGAAATGATAAACTTGATTTAGATCTTATCTATAGGATATGTACATAACTTTTATCATGAGTCTGTTAATTAGAATTGAGGCACTAACCCAGCTTTTTTACAAATTAACTTTATTTACTTTAGATGCATAGCCGCTTTAGGGGAGCTTGATCACTACTTTTGATTCATAGTCACTTTTGAAGTTCTTAATTACTAAGATATTAACCAATACTTCACAGGTGAAGATGCATTACGAGTGCAAAAGACAGTGATGAGAAGAGCTCACGAAGGCTATGAAGCTCGCTTGCTAACCCAAAACGGAAGTCCTCTTACCAAACCCAAAAAAGTGTATTGCTATGTCACACCAAAACAGCTTATTATCAAAGAATTTCTTCTGCGACTTATTCCAAAACGAGTTTGTACATTTCGCTTGTGCCCTTCGACAAAGTTTCATTTCACTGGTACCAACAACCAAAGCGGACTTCCAACAATGAGTATTGATGATGGTTGTCAACCTCTGGTGTCTCTTGCTGGTAAAGACAGAAATGTAATAGCTGCAACATTTACTCAGTTTATGCTTAAAAATATTGGTGGTTCAGAAACCTTTAAAGATAAGCAGGATCACTTTTACCATGAGGTGCGAAAGTTTCACAGCAAACGCATGCACGATAGAATACAGATAACTGTGACAAGAGAACGACTGTTAGAAACATCTATGAAAGCTACCAAAAACTTTACAGTTGCAGACTGGTGTAAAAACTTTGAAATAACCTTCCAAGGCGAAGAAGGATTAGACTGGGGAGGAGTGAGACGTGAATGGTTTGAACTAATATGTGCCCAGTTATTTGATAACGACAAAGGACTTTTTGCTAGTTTACACGAAGGAAGACAAGCCTTAGTACATCCTGATCCATACAGGCCATCACATATGAAGCTTAAACACTATGAGTTTGCTGGAAGAGTTGTGGGAAAATGTTTATACGAATCTGCTCTTGGAAGTGGATACAGACAAACAGTAAGAGCAAGGTTTACTCGATCATTTTTGGCACAGCTAATAGGCCTTCGTGTACATTATAAGGTTTGTATCATTAAGCATTTTTTATAAATACTTTATCAACATTGTAACTATACCCTGAATGATGATATGTTACCATTCTCTCTCTCTTAAAAATTTGAATATAATGCAGTTCTTCACCATTTTTCTCCTCAGCACTTTGCTCAGGATGATCCAGAGTTGTATAGTGGCAAGGTCAGACATATTTTGGATTATGGATTGGATAAACTAGAAGATGAACTCTACTTCACCGATGAGATACTTCTTCCATCTGGACAAGTTAAAGTACGCTTGCACAATAATATTTCATTATCAATTTTATGAACAGTTTTTTTTATTTCTGATATTTAAGTACTGTTCTTTGACATTTTATTTTAAAATAAAGAACTACCTTTTTCTTTAAAGATTGTATAGCTAAAAGGTGGTCGGTGCTAGTTTCTATTACAGGGAAAGGTGGTGTTGTGAACATTAGGTTAAACCAGATAAAACTAAAACTTTTGAAGGTATAAACAAAGGACTTGTATATTACATAATTTGTTACTGCCATAGTAACAGTTTAGAAACTGGCGATACACTGTCTCAGGTTCTGTCTGATTTTGTTGAAATGTTTCATGTTTGCACCTTTTCAACACTTTATGGCAATATGTTATTTACAGTAAAACAATACACAAATAATCCACACATAGGAGAGATAAGCTTTTGATGTTTCGGCCCAACTTGGACCAAAAATGTGACTTATAAATAGTGCAAGTCAGGCCAAAACATCGTTATAAGCTTCTCTCCTATGTGCAGGTTATTTGTGTATTCTTCCAGTTACGGTAATGTGTGTTTTTGTTCTTCTTTACATTAGAACACAGTTGCTTTTTTGAAGCTGGTTCAGATAATTGATATTTGGAATTCCTTCATGGGTTTTCAGTCAATACAGTGCCAGGTCTAACATTGATGGTATGTTGCCTCAACTTGCTCAAGTCACTTGTTTATAGGTCAAGTTTTAACATGCTGATGCATGAAATTTGTCATTATATTGAGGAATTTGGTCTCCCTCCCTCCCTCCTGGTCTGTCCAGTCTTATCTCTTTACATATAAAATCTTCAGTTAAAATAGTTTTACATTTTTCAGTACTAAAATTTTAACATATGACGTTTGTGTTGCCAACTTCACAAACTATTTTCACCATAATAGAAAGCAAAATAGACACAAATGCAGTATAATGTGATCCTTTATTGACTACTTTTTGCCCACACAGTGGGCTTGTGACTTGATAAAGCCCACTATGTTGGGGAAATGTAGTCAGTAAAGGGTCACATTATGCAGCCTTTGTCAACTGGTATTTTATACTATTTACAATAAAAGGCCACATATTAGGGTTTGATTAAAATTCTGGTATGTGTAAGGGACAAACAGGAATGTGCCAGTGAATAACAGCTTTCTGCCTCATTCCTCTTAACATGCATAATATTATTCTGTTGTATGTAGGTGCCTTATCCAAATCTTTCCAGAAAATATAACGCTGTTTGGTTAACAGGAAGTATGGTAATTAGTAAGCAGTAGTTTCTGGTCCAGAATCTTTCTTTTTCACATAAGTATTGTAAAAGAAAAACACAATGCACGAAAATATCCTATCTTTTTAAAATACAGTGGACCCCCGGTTTACGATCAGCTCCCAGTGCGACCAATTATGTAAGTGCGTTTGTATGTGTATGTTTGGGGGTCTGAAATGGACTAATCTACTTCACAATATTCCTTATGGGAACAAATTCGATCAGTAATGGCACCTGAACATACTTCTGGAATGAAATAATATCGTAAACCGGGGGTCCACTGTAGTAGTAAAACTCGCCTATGCAGTATTAGCATATATACATTATATGAAATAGTTATTTTTTCCTTCATGTGTTTATGCATTGGCTCTCTCTGGACTAAGATCCACAAAGGCTCTGCAAATGATCCAATAAATTTACAAGTTAATCCTTAGGATCACGTTCTGTATAATTGAAGGGCACAAATAAATTTAGTTACGAATAATAATAAAATGTTATCCATAGCTGACATCCTAAATTTCAGTGTAATCAGATAATATAAATTTCAGTGTAAGCTAATTTAAACCCTTAATATAAATTTTACTTTTATTAATTTAAAAAAATTATTTACAGGTGATTGAATTAGAGCCTGGAGGAGCAGCTCGATTAGTGACCAATAATAATAAACTGCAATACTTGGATGCTCTTGCCCAGTACCGACTCTCTGTGCGGGTACGACATGAAGTAGACGCTTTCTTATCGGGACTCAATGAAATCATCCCAGATAACCTCCTCTGTATCTTTGATGAAAATGAGCTAGAGGTTAGTAATTCATTTTACTTACGTAGATATGCATCAGAAGAAGTAAACTTAATAATTAAAATGCATTTTTTTTAACACACTGACTGTGTATCATGAAGGCAGGGTGCCCCAAAAAAGAAGAAACACTTTCACCATCACTCCGTCACTGTCTTGCCAGAGGGGCACTGATACTACATTTCAAAACTGCAGATACTCCCACCCCTTCTTAAGAGTGCAGGCACTCATCTTGTCTTTTATTTTTTTATTTTTATTTATTATCACACTGGCCGATTCCCACCAAGGCAGGGTGGCCCAAAAAAGAAAAACTTTCACCATCATTCACTCCATCACTGTCTTGCCAGAAGGGTGCTTTACACTACAGTTTTTAAACCGCAACATTAACACCCCTCCTTCAGAGTGCAGGCACCCTGAAGAATTCACACAGACTGAGGATAAATCTGCCATGACTTGTTAATGGTCTGTGACAGACTAGAACAACAACATTAGACTTGACTGTATCTCCAACTTGTGGGTTAGTGGTCACTTGCTCCAGTCATGAAATTGACTTTTTCTCCCTGTGACTGACTCTAAAAGTTCATTTGAAACAGCCTCACCTAAGGCTGGCATTATATAATTTAATATTTAGCTGTTAAATGCTCTTCATAACAAATGTTCATTCTCTTCAAAACTTAGAAGATACATAATCATATATGTGGAGGAGAGGAGAGGGAACAAGCGGCTCACTGTCAGTTGTATCTACCATAATCTGTTTCAGTTATACAACATTTAATAAGATTAATATTTGTCTAATTTATAAAACATTTGCCTGAGAAACATCTGCAACGTTAGTTCTTTGTTATGATCCAGAAAATCTTTAATCATTTTTTGCATCTTTGAACCACATCATGTTTAATAATCGAAGCTATTTTCTTACATATAATCCAGTATGTATTAATATTATTATTATTATTATGGGGGAGTGCTAAACCTGTAGGGATTATATGACTCGTGTGTGGGGGGGATGGAAGGTATTCAGGTTTAATTCAGGTAACTGGAGCACAGATCTAATTCCCTAGATCAAGTACATCTCACCAGCATCAAGGAACCTCCCTTGAGGGGATTAATATAATACGTAGAATAATAAATATACTGCAGAATAAGCATAATAGTGAAGGTATATATACAGTGTGTATATTTCAATGTAGATAAACAGATTACTCCATCCATATTTTGCAGATTAAATATGTCTGTCTAGAGGTATACAGGTGATACGCCTCTAAACTTATTTGCAGTAGGTTTTAATACAGTGCTTATTATTTACCAAATGTGGATTAATGTACAGGAAAGCCAAATGAGAAGACAAATATATATTTTTCAGTTGAGAGGCATTTACTGCATTACTTTTTTATTACATGTTCTATTTTTACTTTTTTTTTTATAGCTTTTAATGTGTGGGATTGAAGAGTACAGTATTGCTGACTTCAAAGCTAATCATGTGGTTAATGGTTCATCTCCTGAGTTCCGAAGAGTTCTCTATTGGTTCTGGACAGCTGTTTCTAACTTTACTGGTATGTTATTGTCTCACATATTTCTTTTGTCACTGACAGCTTCAAATATTGCTGCATTGGTAGGAAACTGTCAGTTTTTAGTACTACTATGGGAGGAATAAAATTGTGGAAATAGGTCTACAATTGGACTATAATATGCTTGTCAGGGGTAGTTCTCACTCTTAAACTGATTTGCCACCAAGATTTAAGTCAGTGCACATATTACAATAAAAGTTAATCAACAGACATAATTTTCCCTAAAGTAACTGCAATTTCTGACCTATGAGACATTTTCCTCGTGTATAATTAGAACCTTTCTCTTGGTTTATAAAAAAAAGTTCTTTTACTGAGTTTTATACCATTGTGGCTATTAGAGATAGAATTAAAAGTAACTACTTTGTATTCATATTAACTTTTAACCTTAATTAACTGATTGACTTATTATTGCATTCATGGGGAAGCATTAAATTTGTATGGGTCATACTGCAGCAGGGGAATAGGAGGCAGATTCTGGGTATCTTTATTGTAGACGTTTCACCATCTAGTGGCTTTATCAGTACAAATTCAAGGACATAATTGGAAGACAGTAGAACTATATACAAAAGATGAGGTAACCAGTCCATCAACCTTGGAGTTGAAGAGTACCAATTCCAAAGTTGAGGGACTGATTACCTCATCTTTTGTATATAGTTCTACTGTCTTCTAAATTTTTTTTAACACACTAGCAATCTCCCACCGAGGCAGAGTGACCCAAAAAGAAAGAAAAATACTTTCATCGTCATGCAACACTTTCACCATCACTCATGCATAATCACGGTCTTTGCAGAGGCGCTCAGATGCGACAGTTTAGACGTCCCTCCAAACTGCCAATATCCCAAACCCCTTCTTTAAAGCGCAGGCATTGTACTTTCCATTTCCAGGACTCAAGTCCGGCTAAGCGGTTTGCCTGAATCCCTTCACAAAATATTATCCTGCTCAAATTCCAACAGCTCATCGGGTCCCAAAAACCATTTGTCTCCATTCACTCCTATATAACACTTTCATGCATTCTTACTGGAAGTCCAAGCCCCTCGCCAGCAAAACCTCGTTTGCCCCCTCCCTCCAACCTTTTCGAGGACGACCCCTACCCCGCCTTCCTTTCCCTACAAATTTATATGCTCTCCGTCATTCTACTTTGTTCCATTCATTCTAAATTACCAAACCACCTCAACAACCTCTCTTCAGCCCTCTGACTAATACTTTTAGTAACTTCACACCTCCTCCTAATTTCCACACTCCAAATTCTCTGCATAATATTTACACCACACGTTGCCCTTAGACATTTATTATCTTGAATTTGTATTGATAAAGCCACTGGATGGCAAAACGTCTACAGTAAAGATACCCAGATGTTACGCATGTGTCTAATTCTGTAATTAAATGAGGTTGTTACAAACTTTTGTCAGATATTGTACTATTTTTTTTTTAGAATACAAGCAAAGATAAACTAATTTAAGTTGTATTTTAAATTAGTATTTATTTATGATTAAACACTTGATTTTTTATGTATAGTGGCATGAGCCCAGTGAAGGAAATGCATGTTATGTGTTCTGCAGAAGAGGAGATGGCTCGGTTACTTCAGTTTGCCACAGGTTGTTCCCGGCTTCCCCCTGGTGGCTTTGCTCAGCTGTCGCCACATTTCCAAATCTCAGCAGCTCATACATATGGTGTCTTACCAACAGCTCACACTTGGTAAGTTATAAAGAATAGGTCACTGTTGAGTAGATGGAACATTGACAACTGAATCAAAATTGAAAGTAAAATGTACACTATGTTACTATTTGTCCTGATAATGGGTCACCACTTGATAATAGTTCAAGGCAAGTCAAAATATCCTCTAGCTTTCATTTCCAGTTTGTAGGTTGTATGTTGTGTATCTTTATACGTATATTCTTCTAAACTCTTGTATTCTGAACACCTTTGCAAAAACAGTGATAATGTGTGAGTGTGGTGAAAGTGTTGAATGATGATGAAAGTATTTTCTTTTTGGGGATTTTCTTTCTTTTTTGGGTCACCCTGCCTCGGTGGGAGACGGCCGACTTGTTGAAAAAAAAAAAAAAGTTATGAATGGTAAGGTATAAATGTAGCATCGTTTATGTTTAATATAACTGTTATACAGTAGTCACAATTTTAATGTAATATAAACCTGAAATTTTTGTTAACTTCATTACCTTACTCTTTCCTATTAAAAGTAAATGTAAAAGAGCAAGGTGATGAGGGTAACAATGAAGTGTAGGCAATGATAGCTCAAATTTCAGATTGGAAGAAGGGAGTATGGAGGAAGAGGATGTATTAAGGCAATTTGGAGTGAATATGTCAGCAGATGGGTCTGTGAAAGATCAAGTGAGCCAGAGATTAGATTGAGGGAAAAAAGTACGAGTACCATCCGACTTACGACCAAGCTTGGCTCTGACCAACCGGTCATAAGTCAAAATGGATGCAAGTCGAACCTTAGAAAATTGCCGACATACTGGGTAGGGCATAATGTCAAACCTTTGCTATGTAAAGTACCTACATAGTATTGTATGTTACTTTTTACTAAATATTTTACAGCTGTATATCAACTTCACACTTATTGTAATGACTTTATTTTATTGCTTTATTTTTGTAAAGTCTAAGTACAAGTGGTTGTGTCGGATGGTACTTGTGGGTGGTGAGTCGAGTTCTCTCTGGAAAGTTTATGGAGACAAAAAAGGGAATGTGCTGGATTATAATGGTGCCAGCTCTTTTATGTGGGTATGGCTTATTCATTCCAAATTTATTACAGTTTCATGATACTAAGAGTGGAATTTGGCCACAAAGCACATTAAGTATATTTAACCCAGGATGACTCAGTAAAATCAAACAGTGTGACTTATCTCCAAGTTTTGAAGAGTATTACACTCTGAAACAATTGTAATATTATAAGTATTCCTTGTACATAGTATTAGAAGACCAGAATAGTAAAAATATAGAATAAAAAAACAATTATACCGTATATTTCAAGTGGAGCATTGTCGAACTAAGCTTTTTCCCACATTTGAAGTGCTAAAAGATCTTTAAACACCTCTAATATCATAAGAAATTAGTGTACATAGTGTTAAGCAATTAAAAAAATAGACATCTTGGTGTCAGTAAATTGTAAAATACGTACCGCAGGCTCATTTATGACGCTGTTGCCAATGAGTGACGATTTTATGATGAAAAAATAATTTTGTTCATCAGTTCCACTCACTTTAGTCTTATTTGATTCAGAAAAATGCTATCATTCTATAATTTTTTTTTTTTTTTTTTTTTTTAATAATCTTAAACCCTCCCCCCACCCCCTCCTTCCACACTGGGCCCTGTATTCCACCTTTTATTCACCTCAGATTTATACACCTTTGTCAGTCAGTCTTGCTTCATCCTTCCTAAATGACCAATCTGTCTGAGCCATTTCCTGTGCTCTCAGACTTATACCCTTCATACCACTACACTCTTGTTCATTAACCTAGTCTTTTGTAGGAGGCCGCCATCAGCAAAAATCAACCTTTTGCAGAATGGTGATACTCATTCACAACAATTTTGCATGTTTACAAATAGGATTCATGAAAAAAAAAATTCACCAAATGTAATGACTGTTGGTACATTTTTATGCATATTTGGTTGAAGATGTTTTTTTTTCAATAGTTCAGGAACTTTTTGATAGCATTTCTTGAACTGGCTTATGCTATTACTGGCTTTGACATATGCAGGTAGTCTGTTTCATTCCTTTATTGCTGTACAATAAAAGGTGTTTGAAGCCTGGCCACTGACTGTGGGTACTGCAAAGTTGTGCTCTCTCCCTCTAGTACTATGATTGCTTTGGTTCCCAGTCTTGATGTAATTGGCAGCAAGATATTCTGGACACTGTTTGCGAGTAGTCAAGGAATTTGGTGGTTTTTTCCTTTCTCCCTGCTTAACCTCATCCCACCACACACCCAGTTATAATTAAAGTGCTAAACCATGAAAGGTTACCACACAACCAAACAGGCAATTTACCTGGTGTGACTTGTAAATGGCTAAAGTTGGACCAAAACATTTTAAGCTTCTCTATCTCCTTTGTGCAGGTTATTTGTGTATTGTGCCTTCTTTTTTTTTAATTTACCTTGTTTTATTCATGTAACAACAGTTTTTGCGAGGGAGGCAGATGGCACTGTATTTCTAATTGCAATATTCATAATTAAATTCCATATAACATGTATATAACACTTGATGGAGAAATTGCTTTACAATTAAATTATTATTAATAACACTGAATTTCTTCCGCAGCTTTAATCAACTCTGTCTACCAGACTACGACAGCTATGAGCAGTTCGAGAAGGCATTGCTTCTCGCTATTAAAGAAGGTTCTGAAGGCTTTGGAATGGTATAACTCGTGTATGTAAAAATATGAAAAAAAAAAAAATTCTAAATACCAATACTGACATGTGTTGTACTGATCTGTAGGGAAAATTATGACAAAAGGATGAGCTTTTTAATCAAGAATTTATGATAATGTTGGAGAAGGGTTGAAAAAGACGACAGTGGCAGAGAAGAACTTCGTGATATTTTCCCACAGGTGAAATGTCTTGGAGTTCCTCTCTGCCTTTTTGCCATATTTTACTTCCTAATTATTGAATATAATTTATACACGAAAGTCAATCAAACTTATGTGAAACAAGTGCTTTATTCGTGGATAATATGCTTAATTTTGTAATGACTCAAATGTACAAGTTGAAACTTATTGAAAAGGAAAATTAATTTGAATCTCTTAATTTAATTTCATGCCATTGATGTGGATTATATGTAAGGAGTGACATGCATCTGTTAGTAGGGATATATTAAATATCTTGACTGAAATTATATTCATAATTTACATTTTTTACCTTCAAAGACTAGCTTTACCCAGAGGTGATCAGTTATTACTCTTATTTTATCTTTATTAACAGAATTGTATGCACACTGAGTGTATGTATATATACTGAGTTAACTTTAATACCTATTTTCGGGATAGGCTTTAAAATAACAACCCCAGCAACAATTGTAGCTGTTTGGATACATCTGGAAGTATTTTTTCAAAATTCAAGAAAAAGTGATTATAGTGTCATTTATTAGTCTTTTCTGCATATCAAACATATTACAATGTACGCTAAAAGTTATGAAGTCCATTCTTTCTCTGGGAATGAAATCAAGTATATAAATCATTATACCAGTTGCTATTTAAATATCTTTGAGTTATATACACTACTGGGCTGCAAACATGACTTAAGAAATCGTAATGACACGATTGCAAATAAACCATACCCCCGGCCGGGATTGAACCCGCGGGCTGGAGTTTTGAGACTCTATGACCGCGGGTTCAATCCCGGCCGGGGGTATGGTTTTTTTTCTGGGCTGCAAAATCTGTTTACCTATTTCATGGTAAAATATGCAATTGGTTATAAAGATTGGCATTTTAAAAAGTACAAATATGAATCTCCAGAGTTATCACTGATCACACTAAGACTATATATTCAAAGTAACTATATTACACTAACAAAAATACTGTTAGCATAATCTCCAAGGAAGATGCCAGAGAAGGGCTCTTCATCTAAGGAAGTGGAGCTACTTTCCCCTTTCTTGGATCAAGCCTGAGGGTTTTCCATTCTCCAGGTACAGCATAGCCATTACAAGTTGAGCATTTCCCTAGGTATATAATGTTGAATTCATTGGGAAGCACTAAACCCATAAAATCATACAGCACTTGGGGAATGGGGGGTAGTCAGATTTGATCCAAGAAAGGGAAGCTCCAATTCTCTGGATCAAGAGCCCTTTACTGGCATCAAGCCTCTTCCCTTGAAGGATATAATAATAATAGTGTAAGCAGAATACGTTGAACATCAAGTACAGTATTATCACTACTTCATACCAAGCACATCTTAAGCAGATTATTATAATTATAACCAGGTGCTAAACCTGTAAGGGTCATACAGCTCCCATAAGCAGAGGCAAAAGACATTCATGAGCATTTCTTGAATTTCACTATTAGATAAAAAAAAAAAATACTTTAACCCTCACCTGACATAATTTTAACAAAGTTTGAATCTCATTCACATTCCAAATATATTCTTATAATTGTTTATTCTGGCAGAACACTGATATAACTTACAAGCACTGACTCTTGTGGCACCCCACTCGTAACTTTTTCCTCTTATAACTGTTCACATTTTCTTGAAGAACAGAACTATGTTGATTGGAAACTGAATTGTTTTATAAGTTTTTGCTCCAGTTGTTTTATCCATTTTTTCTTTCATGGCTTTTTCCAGTAATTCTCCAACGAAACTTACCAGCGAGATGGACGTTTTTCATATGTCCAGCAGTTTAGTCTTAAAATGAACACAAAAAGATTTCTTTAGCTTTTCTACACATTTTTAACATCCAGAACTTTATATTTTATTTTTATTATTATCACACTGGCCGATTCCCACCAAGGCAGGGTGGCCCGAAAAAGAAAAACTTTCACCATCATTCACTCCATCACTGTCTTGCCAGAAGGGTGCTTTACACTACAGTTTTTAAACTGCAACATTAACACCCCTCCTTCAGAGTGCAGGCACTGTACTTCCCATCTCTAGGACTCAAGTCCGGCCTGCCGGTTTCCCTGAACCCCTTCATAAATGTTACTTTGCTCACACTCCAACAGCACGTCAAGTATTAAAAACTATTTGTCTCCATTCACTCCTATCAAACACGCTCACGCATGCCTGCTAGAAGTCCAAGCAAAACCTCCTTTACCCCCTCCCTCCAACCTTTCCTAGGCCGACCCCTACTCCGCCTTCTTTCCACTACAGACTGATACACTCTTGAAGTCATTCTGTTTCACTCCATTCTCTCTACATGTCCGAACCACCTCAACAACCCTTCCTCAGCCCTCTGGACAACAGTTTTGGTAATCCCGCACCTCCTCCTAACTTCCAAACTACGAATTCTCTGCATTATATTCACACCACACATTACATCTCCACTGCCTCCAGCCTTCTCCTCGCTGTAACATTCATCACCCATGTTTCACACCCATATAAGAGCGGTGGTAAAACTATACTCTCATACATTCCCCTCTGCTTCCAAGGACAAAGTTCTTGGTCTCCACAGACTCCTAAGTGCACCACTCACCCTTTTCCCCTCATCAGTTCTATGATTCACCTCATCCTTCATAGACCCATCCGCTGACACGTCCACTCCCAAATATCTGAATACATTCACCTCCTCCATACTCTCTCCCTCCAATCTGATATCCATTCTTTCATCACCCAATCTTTTTGTTATCCTCATAACCTTACTCTTTCCTGTATTCACTATTAATTTTCTTCATTTGCACACCCTACCAAATTCATCCACCAACTCTGCAACTTCTCTTCAGAATCTCTCAAGAGCAACTGTGACAACTCCCACTTTGTGTGATTCTTTATCTTTTAACTCCACGCCTCTTGCCAAGACCCTCGCATTTAATTCCCTTACAACCCCATCCATAAATATATTAAACAACCACGGTGACATCACACATCCTTGTCTAAGGCCTACTTTTACTGGGAAATAATTTTCCTCTTTCCTACATACTCTAACTTGAGCCTCACTATCCTCGTAAAAACTCTTCACTGCTTTCAGTAACCTACCTCCTACACCATACACCTGCAACATCTGCCACATTGCCCCCCTATCCACCCTGTCATATGCCTTTTCCAAATCCATAAATGCCACAAAGACTTTATATATGCTAGTATAACCTGATGGTGGGTATAGGCTGATTTCTGAGTTTTTGTCAAAAATCCTTGATTCTTCATGTATCTTGTATACAAGTTTATTTTAGCTTTTGGGAGATATTAAAAAGAGGTTGATGAGTTCTTATGTGAAACATATTCTAGCCGAAGCTTGGAAAAAGCACTTAAAACAAATAAAAATGGCATTAGAAATGTCACAATATTTGTGACAAAAAACAGAAATAGTCCTGGAGTATACCTGGAGGGTGTTTTGGGGGTCGATGCCCCTGCAGCCCGGTCTATGACTAGGCCTTGCGGTGGATCAGGGTCTGATCAACCAGGCTGTTACTGCTGGCTGCACACAAACTGACGTACGAACCACAGCTTGGCTGGTCAGGTACTGACTTTAGGTATCTGTCCAGCTCCCTCTTGAAGACAGCCAGGGGTCTATTGGTAATCCCCCTCATGTATGTTTGAAGGCAGTTCAACAGAAATAAGATTAGAACAGTGCATTAGGCCTACTTGCCCATGCAACTCAGGTCCTGCTTATACCCAACCATTACAGCAAGCTTGCTGGTTCATGCTAGACAGACCCTGTGTACACACAGCACATGATAGAGATTGGTAAAGAACTGCAGGTTTATTAACCCTTAAACTGTCCAAACGTAGATTACGTTTTTTCAACATTTGAAAGTATGTAAAAAAACGTAGATTTTTTTTTTTTTTACATTTGAAAATGTGTAAAAAAAACATTGATCTACTTTTGGAGCACTACACATGTGAACATAGATCTATGTTTGGACAGTTGAAGGGTTAATGTTCTGTTAGCACAGTTATCTTTGTCTTGTACTGGACAAGGAGGAGGAAATGATTGACCATGGGAGGGAGAATAAGTAGGTGACACTTTCTCCTCCTCTTACTTTGGCTCATCTTACTGTATTTACCTTTACTCCTACAGAAACTTGTCTAGTTCCCTGCTAAAGCCTTTTTTCTTTGTTCTGGTGATATTCACATTTGCTGGTGTACTGTGGTAGATTGAAGTCTTGAATCTTAGATGTTGACATTACTCTATTTTACAATTGTACTTTTGTTATCCCTATTTTCGTTTGAATAATTCCTCACATTCTTCCATATCTTTTTTTTTTTTTTATTATTACACAGGGTTTGACAAGGTTAGGTTAAGGATCCGTAGCTTTATTGACAAGCTATTTATAGGTTAAGGATCCCTAGCTTTATTGACAGCTATTTACAGGTTAATGATTCCTAACTTTATTGGCAAGCTAAGAGCTGTTACCTACATTAGCTCATTTGAAAGCATTTTTATTGTTATGAGACATACAAGTAGGGAACAGGATGAAGTTGGAGCCATCTGTGGGCCAGCATTTTCATTTGATCAGCTGACTTTATCTCGTTGGCATCGTAATGCTGTACAAATGTGTTCCAGACTCGAGTCATCCTGGGGATAAATGATCTTAGATGAAGTGATGTTCTGGAGAAGGGTACAGCCAGAGTGAAGTTGCTGCTTTCTGCCTGTCTTGTGGTATAGAAACTTGCTTCACGCTGTCCTTGAAGTGGATCCAAGTGTGGTACTTTGACAATATTGGCCTTGTACATAACAGTAAGGCCACCCGCATTCCTCCTGTGTTGAAAGTTCTGCTGAGATGACAGATCTATCCAGGATTGGTCTAGGCAAGAGAGGAGACGTCTTGCTCTGTTCTCTACTCTGTCAAGCAATCGCAGATGAGAGGGGGGGGGGCAGGCAAATCAAGAAAATGGAGCATACTCAATGTGTGAGCCTACTTGTGCCTCGTACAGAATCTTGCAACCCCTACTGTCAAGCAGATGCAAGATACGGCGAAGTGCTGTAAGCTTCCTGGCTGCATTGTTTGCAAGATTTACAACGTGTTTCTTCATGGTCAGTTTGGAGTCGAATTTCACCCTAAGGATATCAACTTCTTCCCCATGTGCCATCACCCTCCCATTCATCCTTGCTACTGCACCGGCATTACTGTCATGGTGCCTAGAGACCATCATTTGTGTTTTCTCAATACTCTATCTCTTGTTTCTGTTCCAGATTACTGATAGGTAGGTACAGTACAAATGCTTCAAGGCAGTCCCAGTAGATTAAA